AACAGCAACATATCAGAGCATGCCAAGTAAACTAATAGTCCTAATTTGGTTGCAGAAAATCCAAATACCAACATATTCAAAAATAATGAAGCTTTAGTTTGTAGTCAAAACGTGCAATAAAAATAAACAACACACATCGTCAACAGGGACGCTCACCTCGTTGACGATTCGCTCTGCAAAGGCTTCTTCTGCTGCTGCTCACTCGTGCGCATTCCTCTCGACTGCGGGTGGAGGCGTGGCTATGACGTAACAGAGGTGACGTCACTACAGCGAGGCTCCGCCCCCACGCGCGTGGCGGGCGCACCACGTGGTGCAGTGCGGGTGGTGTGCGTCACCGGAAACAGCAGAGCCCTCTGTTCGACATTAAACATTTTCTCCCTCGCTTTGTGCCGTCTTTGATGTCGCCGTTACTGCGGCGAGGACTGAAGCGATGCCTGGCCATCAGGCCTGGCATATACCTAGGCCTCAGGCTTCATATTTGTTCTTAGTTATTTTTTGTTTAATTGGAATTATTAACTTGCATTTCATTCATTACATTTCAAGTGTATAAACACCATCCCATTGGTTTATTTACTTATAAATTCAGGTTTTTATTAGAGTTATTGATCTGTAGTTATATTTAAGTGAGTGAGGTGGTTGTACTAAGTGTGAATTTGAGTTCCATGTAAATTATTGTGTAAAGGATTTGTCTGTGTGCACCTATCCTGGCAGAGGTAATATGGGCTTTTTATAATTAAGTTGTTAATGAGATTGTTTATTTGTGTGTGTTATCTATGTGTCAGGTTACATATCTATATAGCTGTGTGTGTTTGTTAATTTATGATGGGTGGTGATGATGATGTTTCTTGATAATGGATGGTGGTGATGATGATGATGATGGGTGGTGATTATTAAGGGTGGTAATGATGATGGTTGATGATGTTAATGTGTAGTGATTATGATGGGTGGTAGTGGTGATCATGGGTGGTGGTAATGATTGGTGAGGTTATGATGATGGGTGGTGATGGTTATGGGTGGTGATGATGGGTTGTTGTGATTATGGGTGTTGATGATGATGGATGATTGGTGGTGGTTATGATGCATGTTGGTTGTGATGGTTGGGTTGTGGTGGTGGTGATGATGGTTGGTGATGGTGAGTTGATAGTGATAATGATGATAATGGGTGTTAATTCTGATGATAATGGGTGGTGATGAGTAAAAGAGCCACCACCCAATACATAACAGCAACAGAAGTAACTACAGCAGCAACAATAACAGCAGCAACAACACATTTTGAGGGCGACGCAACTACTTCTGATTCTGCTGTTTCTGCTGCTCGGCTATTTGTAGCCAGGCCCTGCTCTCGCGGGACCCCACACATCTTTGGAAATGAATGCGATGATCATGTTTGAGCTGAGAATTAAGTGACTAAACGTTACTTTGTTTAACAATAACTGTGTGTAGGTTAGTATCTGGGGGCTCAGCGAATACTATTCATGAAAGAACTCGCACTCCTTTATGACCGACATTGTATTATTTTTTGTTGATCGAGACGAACAAGGCACGTGTAATGTCCAGACGAACTTTTATTTCCAATATTGTCCTTAAATATGATGCTAAAATAAACGTTAACACTGGATTAACATGCACCTCTTAACTCCTGCCTCGCATTTACGACTAACAATTTGCATTTACACGTAACATGCAGTCAAGCACAGTAAAATGCTAATACGACAATATTGTTATTCTAGGAATTTGAATTCGATTCTAACCCTGCACCCCCCACAGTTCGCATATCCAATCCCCGGTTCGACGGAACGTTCGCTTTAGATACATATGAGCAGTGTGGTTATAATACTTCTAATTAGATTTGAATACCGTACCTCCGTTTATGGTGGTATAAATTCTAAAATCAGTCTATAGTCGTTTAATGTTGAGTGATATCGTTTATAATGATACAGCTGAAGTCATAGAGGTGAAACGGCCTAAGTGTGTATGAATACAGATAGGGCGTCGCCGTTGGTTCGTCCACCCATCCCGCCTCAAGACTTATGTCCGTCCCCACCCAGACAGCTCATCCCCATGTCCTGTACAGCCCAAGTCTGGTGTGTCCGACGTGGTGGGGCTCTCGGCAACGGAAACCGTACTTCAAAGGAAATGTGTTGTGGCGCCCACAGTTTCCTAGCCCCTGAGGCCCGGGGTGCCTCAAGGATCCGCCACGTGTGAGGAATCGGTGCCAGGAGCCCGGTCATGTTTCTCAAAAGAAGCCAGGGACCTGTCTAATCCTTCAAGGCTGTGGTGCGAGCCCTTGACGCCCCGAAAGGCACAAGATTCCACCATGGGCGAGGGACCGGCGTCGAGAACCAGGTCAAAATGTCTTCTTGGTTCTTTCGGTAAAGTCACGTAGAAGGGAAGTAATAAAATAATAAAAATAAAACATAATAAAACAATTTTCACGACGTTTCGGCCACAACGCAAGCAGCCGTCCTCAGGTGAAAACCAGGTCCGTCGAGGCGACAGAGTCTGAATGAAACAGCACACGGGCTTAGAGCATATATATAAGCTGGGCGCATTGACAAAGGAATTTGCATATCAACAGGAATTTAGCATATTTATGGGAAATGCAGGAATGTAATTAGTACTGCATATGCATGTGCATTATGCAGGATTAACAGCATCAAAGGGAGCTGCAGTTACTGCTACTGCAGCAGTTGCTGCTGCTGCTGCAGTTTCTGCTGCTGCTGCAGTTGCTGCTGCTGCTGCAGATGCTGCTGCTGCTGCACTTGCTGCTGCTGCTGCAGATGCTGCTGCTGCTGCACTTGCTGCTGCTGCTGCACTTGCTGCTGCTGCTGCAGTTGCTGCCTTATCCATTTTAATATAACACTATGTATTATTCTACCCACCCTAATGTGTATCATACTGCTATATGTTTACTGTACAATTACGACACCATACATTACTCTGCACACTGCACCATGCCAGTGAGTGGAACGCGGTCTGAAAGTCACCGTTAACGTGAACACAATCAGTTAAGATCCGAAATGGTTTATTACGTCCTTCCAATGATTGCTAAGCCAGAATCCATCTTCTCGGTTGAAATTGTCTTATAGTTTACTATAACACTAGTTTGTAGTGTTATTTTAAAGCGTTACAATGTATAGCTCATAGTTTAAAGGTTATATTGATAGAGTTTATAATGTTAGAGTATACAATGTGAGTTTACAATTTGAAAGTTTGTGGACGTGCCCTGTTCTCGTGGGACCCGACACGGATTTGGAAATAATTGTTATGATCATGTCTGAGCTGAGATGAGCGACTAATGTTTACTTTGTTTAGTCATAACTGTGCGTAGGTTAGTGCTATCGGGGCTTAGTGAACACTACTCATGAATGAACTCATACTTCTTTCGGATATAAATTTGAAATCGTATTGGTAGAACAAGTCGCCTGCCTTTTCTAGACGAATTGTTATCTTCAAGTGCGTCCGTAAATATATTGCTAAAATACACAGCATAGGGAAGGCTGCCTTGTTGGGGAGATGCAGTTTGGCTAAGGCGCTGTGGCCGTGTGATGACACGGATTCTGAAACAATGGAGTTAAACACTCCCTGCTTGGCCCCGTCGACAGCAGCGAAGGCTGTCATATACCGCCCTATTTACGAGTTGGCTCTTTGGGGCTGTATTATGTGTCTAGTTGAAGGTGCTAGGTGTTGTCTTCTTCTAACAGCTACTAACGTGCGTGTGTTGTCTGTTTTTAGGATTTGTTCATTGATGTTGTTCTTTTTATTGCGGCGTTTTTTTGTTGAGTTCTGTCACTTGAGTGTTGCAGTTTGTTTAAGAATTCGTCACGTGAGCGTGGTGTTTTGCTTGTGGGAATTTCTGTCACAATTTGTGATTGTTATAATAATTGTAACGATTCATAATCTCATGAGTTTATAATGGGTTTGTGCGTGATTCTTATACGACCACACTGTGATTCTAATGATATTATAATACCTTACCTCCGTTTATATGGTATAAATTAAACATTGGTTCATAATCGTTTAATGTTTAGTGTTATCGTTTATAGTATTACAGTTTACATGTTATCGAGAACAGTTTATCCCCGACATACTTCGGGATTAGGGACTGTTTCGTTGATGAACGATTAACTACGGGGACCTTTCCTCTCAAGGAACACGTGTTAATCGGGTAGACAGCCAAGATGCTGCCGGTTAAGGGCACACTTGTGTGACGGAGATCCTACACCTGAAATTATCTTAATATGTTTTTGCTAGGAACATGATAAAATCAAGAATGGACAAACATTTGTTAAAAATACGTTTTTATTCATCTGCAATAATTTTACATCAAAACTCGAAGGGAATATTTATTACGTCCTATGTTCACACATTTCCAGTACCATGCAAACCATTTCCGTTCCAGGAATACCAAAACGTTAAAGTATCATTGATTTTCTTATTAATTCACCACATTTGTTCACTGTGCGTCCATGTTGAAGTCAATGCCATATATCCAACGATCGCGTCATCAATGTACATCCTGAAATCAGCTATCTAAAGTCGATTAATACCAATCAAATACAGCTATATACTTGAAAAAAAATCGTTTAAAATGTTGAGTAAAGATGTACCTACAGACGCATTCCAACTTTAGCTCAACAGGGACACTTAACAACTACAATTGAACCCTCTCACAACCAGTGCTCATCACACCACTTCGGCAAGTAACCCGATAACATTACAAACCACCACTGTGCACGTCATTAAACTCAAAAAAACTATAAAACTAAAATGGTCAAAATTACACACAAAAGTACTCGATACGGCTTAATAGGTATAACCACATGACGTAATATTTTTTTCAGTCACGCCGAGCTCTCGGTTTGATCCTCGAGCCACTCCATTACATCCAGCCATCTCTCGGGATCCAACTGCATGGGATCGAAGGTGGAAACTTCTTGAGGACTCATTGCAGCACCTTGAATTTCAGCTTTTGATTTCAGTTTCCTATCATTGTGGACCTTCTGATGCCTGTTAAGAGTTGACGACTGTGAAAATGCCTTCCCACACGCAGGGCACAGGAATGGCTTATCGCCCGTGTGTGTTCTCTGATGGTCTTGAAGAGTTGACGACTGTGCAAATGCCTTCCCACACACAGGGCACAGGAATGGCTTCTCACCCGTGTGTGTTCTCTGATGACTCTGAAGGTGTGATGACTTCGCAAATGTCTTCCCACACACAGGGTACAGGAATGGCTTCTCGCCCGTGTGCGTTCTCTGATGAGTTTGAAGAGTTGACGATTGTGCAAATGCCTTCCCACACACAGGGCACAGGAATGGCTTCTCGTCTGTGTGTGTTCTCTGATGAGTTTGAAGAGTTGATGAGTCTGCAAATGTCTTCCCACACACAGGGCACAGGAATGGCTTCTCGCCCGTGTGTGTTCTCTGGTGAGTTTGAAGATTTGATGCCTGTGCAAATGTCTTCCCACACACAGGGCACAGGAATGGCTTCTCGCCTGTGTGTGTTCTCTGATGAGTTTGAAGAGTTGAAGAGTCTGCAAATGTCTTCCCACACACAGGGCACAGGAATGGCTTCTCGCCCGTGTGTGTTCTCTGATGAGTTTGAAGATGTGATGAGTGTGCAAATGTTTTCCCACACACAGAGCACAGGAATGGCTTCTCACCCGTGTGCGTTCTCTGGTGTCTCTTAAGACTTGATGACCATGAAAAGGACTTCCCACACACAGAGCAATTCAATGGCTTCTTGTCTCCGTGTGCGTGGGGCTGTGGAGAGCGTCTCTGCTCCATGTGAGCGTAGTAACAGCAGCGCTGTTATCGAGTCAAAAGTACGCTATCAGCCGCAAGGATGTTTAGCGTCGAGTTTTGTATTTTGTTAACTGCTAAAACAAGAACGACACTCGCGTCTAACCGAGACGCAAAAAAATCCCGTAAATTTGACGACGAAAACGTTTAGTAGTTTATCTGCGAAAATAGACACTTACTTGGAGATTCACGGTATATCGATGTCTGTAACCCGTCTGAAGATGTCGCCACGAACTCTCCCGACACAAAGTCGCCTAAATGTCGACACAGCAATTGTGCTCGCCAGGCTGCGTTGTCTCGCGGTTGAAGGGCGATCAGCAGAGCGACGAGTCGAGCGTCCAACCTCATCAAGTTCCCTCTCGAAATGGCATTGAGCTCTGCTTCTGAGCCGCCTTATAACTCCCCCCCTAGGATCCAATCCTTTGTCTTTCAGGATATTTGCATTCGATTGTTAATTTTGGAAGGCACAATCCGCATGTCTATTAACATACCGAAGAGTAATGTGCCCATTGTGCTTCATGCATGAATATGTAAGTGCATCTCAGTGTGTAATTGTGCGCTTATTTTGAATTAATGGAAAAAAATTGTCCTCGATTTAAAGTGAATGCAGAGAAATTATCATGTAACTTTAGAAAAGGAAGAGAACGGCCTTCTCGACGAGGGAGTGAAACCCAATGGGTAATATTCTTTTACAGCGTTACAACGGATAGGTTGTAGTTCATAGGTTATAATATTATGTTTCACTATGGTAGAGCTTAACATGTGAGAGTATAAAATATCAGAGTTGATCAAATGCGACGATCAAGGGCGTCAATCGGGTGAGTTTGATCAGAGGCTTTAATCAAAGGCGTCATCCCATCACGGAACACCACCTCCCTGCGTTTATCACAGCAACAGAAGCAACTACAGCAGCAACAACAGCAGCGACAACAACAGCAGCAACATCACATTTCGAGGGCGACGCAGCTACTTCCGATTCTGCTGCCCAGCTGTTTGTAGTCAGGACCTGCTCTCGCAGGACCCCACACGTCTTTGGAAATGTTTGCGATGATCATGGCTGAGCTGAGAATTAAGTCACTCAAGATTAATTATAGATTTGAAGCTTTCGTGACTGCAAGGATTCATATTCTTAGGTTTTTTCGTCGTGATTGTTTTTTATTTTACTTTTATAAATTTTAATTTTTTACCCACGTGACTTTACCGAAAAAATCTAAGAATACACTCAAGATTACTTTGTTTAACCATAACTTTAGGTAGGTTAGTGTCATCGGGCCTCTGTGAATACTACTCATGAATGAAATCACACTCCTGTATGACCGACATTGTACTAATTTTGGTTGATCGAGTAGAACAAGGCACGTGCCATGGTCCAGACGAATTCTTATTAACAACAGTGTCATTAAATATGATGCTAAAATAAATGTTGACACTGGAATAAACGTGCACCTCTTAACCCCTCCCTCGCATTTACGACTAACAATTTGCATTTGCACATAACACACATTCAAGTACAGTAATTTGCTAATACGACCAAATTGTCATTCTAAAATTTGAATGCGATTCTTACCCTCGACCCCCCACAGTTCACATATCCGACCGTCGGTTCGATTGAACGGACAATTAACCATGTGTAGAGTTCCATTATAATACTTCTAATGAAATTAAAATACCGTACCTCCGTTTATGGTGGTATAAAACCAGTTGGTAGGTTTTTTTTGTCGTTTAATGTTTAGTGTTATTGTTTATAGTGTTATCAGTTTACATGTTTTAAGTACAGGTGATTCCCGGTGTACTTCGGTATTCTGGACCTGAACGTTGCGAAACGAATCATAACGAGGACATTTCCCCACCAGAGCGCAATCCGCTAATGAAACGAACTCGGGGCGGCGGGAACACGTGCTTCCATGGGCAGTGGGGGACAGGGCATGGTTGTATTGCCTACAGGTGCCACCGGGTATGTCCCCCAAGTTGCTCCGCCCATGGCGGTAGAGGTCATAGAGGTGGGTGATGTAAAGACAGTGCATCAACTAAGGGACAAGTGGTGACAACAAGATAGAGAGAGAGTTCGATAAGGGAAGGCGAGACCAAGTGTGGGCGGAGGTTTACACAACACGGTCCTTAAATATATTGCTAAAATAACGTCTACACCCAATTCAACATGCAGTTCCACCTCGGCCATGAGCAACCCACAGCACGCGCAGAGGGAGGAGACCACGAGGGAGACGGCCTCAACTTGAAGAGAAAGTTGACAAACTCACGGATGCCATCACCCAGCTGCTGCAACGCCTGTCGGATGAGACGCTGCGTCCCGCGGCACCAACCAGGCGAGTAAAGGAAGAGCTGAGCCCGAATCGGAAGCCGCCACCCGAACATCAGCAGCAGTCGATAGCGTGATTCTAATAGGACCACGTTGTTATTATCATAAATTTAATGCGATCAAAACCGCGCACCTCCCATTTTGCATTTACGACTCGCGATATGCATCTACATATAACATACATTCTAGCTCAGTGTAATTCTAATACGACCATAGTGTTATTGTAATAATTTTAATCCGATCCTAATCCCCCAGTTCGCATATCCGACCCCCGGTTCGCATGTCCAACGGACATACATATTACATACATACATACCATAGTATGTATGTAATATGCATACATATGTGCAGTGTGATTCTATTACGATCACATTGTGATTATAATACTTCTAATGGTATTCTAATATTGATTTGAAGCTTTCGTGACTGCAGGAATTAATACTCGTTGGTTCTTTCGGTAAAGTCACGTAGGTAGAAATAAAACAAAGTAAATCACGTTTCGAACGAAACACAAGCGCCCGTCTTCAGGTGAGAATCGCGATGTCTGCTGCGAGCAGCACGATGTCTGCTGCAGACATCGTTTCGGGCGCTTGTGTTGCGTCCGAAACGTCGTTATTTATTTTGTTTTATTTATACCTACGTGACTTTACCGAAAGAACCAAAGAGTATAGATATTCTAATACTGTCCCTCCGTTTACGGTCTTATAAATAATATAAAAAAAACTAGTTTATATTCGTTTAATGTTTAATGTTATCTTTAAAGCGTTACAGTTTACATGTTTTAGAGTACAAGTGATCTCCAGTATACTTCGGAATTAGGGAAAGGAACGTTGCTAAACTATTTATAACGGGGACCTTTCCCCTCTAGGAACACATGTTGATGGTGGAGACAGCCAAGACGTTGCCGGTTAAGGTCAGACTTGTGTTGCTGCAGTTGCTGCTGCTGCAGTTCCTGTTGCAGTTGCTGCTGCAGTTGCTGCTGCTGCAGTTGCTGCTGCATTTCCTGTTACAGTTGCTCCTGCAGTTGCTGCTGCAGTTGCAGCAGCTGCAGTTGCTGCTGCTGCAGTTGATGCTGCTGCAGTTGCTGCTGTTGCTGCTGCTGCAGTTGCTGCTGCTGCAGTTGCTGCTGCTGCAGTTGCTGCTGCTGTAGTTGTTGCTGCTGCAGTTGCTGCTGCAGTTGCTACTGCAGTTGCTGCTGCTGCTGCAGTTGTTGCTGCTGCAGTTGCTGCTGATTATGCAGTTGCTTCTGCTGCTGCTGTTGCTGCTGCAGTTGCTGCTGTTGCTTCTGCTGCTGCTGTTGTTGCTGCTTAATATGCTTCAGTTCCAGTGGTGTTCCGTGATGGGATAACAAACTTTGATCAAATACTTTTATCAAACGAGTCATTACAATCGTAACGATTCATAATTTCACGGGCTAATATTGGGTTTGTGCGATTATTTAACATATTCATACTGAATATTGTTATTTGATTACATTGAGATGGAACATTCATCCCGCAGTGGACAGCTTGATCCTAATACCACCAAAGTGTCATTCAAGTAATTTTAATCCCATCCTGATCCTGCACCTTCCGTTTCACATATCACACCCTTGGTTCGCACGTCCATATTACATACATACATGTTACATACATGCATGTACCATGTTACATACATACATGTTACATGCATACATGTTACATGCACATATACTTACTACAAACAGATATGTTCCATACATACATGTTACATACTTACGACCGTAGTGTGATTCGAATAATTCGAATGCGATTCGAAAATCACACTTCAAGGTAGGTTGTTCTAATCTATAACACTAGTTAATAATGTTATTGTATAGCCTTATAATGTATAGCTCATATGTTATATTGTTAGAGTTCACATACTAGTTTACAGTAATTTGTAGATTCTTCAAATGTATATGTGCATTTTTTTAAGTTACCACTGTTGAAGTTCATAATGTTAAAGTTCACAGTGTGAGAATTTACAATGTGAGAGTATATCCAAGACGACGATCGATAGCGTTGGTCTGGTAGGTTGGTGTCACGGGACACCAACATGCTGCCGATATAACAGTAACAGAAGCAACTACAGCAGCTATGAAACCATTCGATGGCAAAGCAGCGACTTCTTCAATCTGAGAGTTTGTGGCCGTGCCCTGTTCTCGTGGGACCCGACACGGATTTGGAAATAATTGCTATGATCATGTCTGAGCTGGGATGAGCGACTAATGTTTACTTTGTTTAATCATAACTGTGCGTAGGTTAGTGCCATCGGTGCTGAGTGAATACTACTCATGAATGAACTCATTCTTCTTTCGGATAGAAATTTGAAATCGTTTCGGTAGAACAATTCGCTTTCCTTTTCGAGACGAATTGTTATCTTCAAGTGCGCCCGTAAATATACTGCTAAAATACACAGCATAGGGAAGGCTGCCTTGTTCGGGAGATGTAGTTTGGCTAAGTCGCTGTGGCCGGGTGATGACACGGATTCTGAAACAATGGAGTTAAACACTCGCTGCTTGGCCCCGTCGACAGCAGCGAAGGCTGTCATATACCGCCCCATTTACGAGTTGGATGTATAATGTGTATAGTTAAAGGTGATAGGTGTTGTCTTCTTCCAACCGCTACTAACATGCGTGTGTTGTCTGTTTTTAGGATTTGTCCATTGATGTTGTTTCTTTTATTGCGGCGTTTTTTTGTTGAGTTCTGTCACTTGAGTGTTGCAGTTTCTTTAAGAATTCGTCACGTGAGCGTGGTGTTTTGCATGTGGGAATGTCGCTTTGTCACAATTTGTGATTGTTATAAAATTGTAACGATTTATGATCGCATGCGTTTATAATGGGTTTGCGCGTGTATTTATATAAATATATTCCGTCTTGTTAATCGATGACATCTAGCAGTGAAAATCGTGATTGTAATATGACCATGTTGTAATTGTAATAATTTTTATCCGATCCTTGCACGTACACTATACATACATATTAGCGATTCTTATACGACCACACTGTGATTCTAATGCTTCTAATGATATTATAATACCTTAGCTCCGTTTAAATGGTTATAAATTGAAACACTAGTTTATAATCGTTTAATGTTTAGTATTATCGTTCATAGTATTACAGTTGACATGTTATAGAGAACAGTTTATCCCCGACATACTTGTGTGACGGAGATACTCCATTTTAAATTATCTTAACATGTTTTTGCTAGGAACATTATAAATAAAGACCGGACAAACATTTGTTAAAAAATAGTTTTTATTCATCTGCAATAATTTTTACGTCAAAACTCGAATGGAATATTTATTATGTTCTATGTTCACACATTTCCAGTACAATGCAAACCATATCCGTTCCAGGAATACCAAAGCGTTAAAGTATCATTCCCCATTATTTCCTTATTAGTTCACCACATTTGTTCACTGTGCGTCTATGTTGAAGTCAAGGCCATATATCCAACGAACGCGTCATCAATGTACATCCTGAAAACAGCTATCTAAAGTCGATTAATACAGCTATATACTTGAAAAAAAAATCGTTTAAAATGTTGAGTAAAGATCTAACTACAGACGCATTCCAACTTTAGCTCAACAGGAACACTTAACGACTACAATTGAACCCTCTCACAACCAGTGCTCATCACACCACTTCGGCAAGTAATCCGATAACATTACAAACCACCACTGTGCACGTCATTAAACTCTCAAAAACTGTAAAACACAAATTGTCAAAATTATACACAAAAGTACTCGATACGGATTTAAAAGGTATAACCACATGACGTAATTTTTTTTCAGTCACCCCGAGCTCTCTGGTTGACTCTCGAGCCACTCCATTACATCCAGCCATCTCTCGGGATCCAACTGCATGGGATCGAAGGTGGAAACTTCTTTAGAACTCATTGCAGCACCTTGAATTTCAGCTTTTGATTTCAGTTTCCTATCATTGTGGACCGTCTGATGCCTGTTCCTGGTTGATGAGTCTGCAAATGTCTTCCCACACACAGGGCACAGGAATGGCTTCTCGCCCGTGTGTGTTCTCTGATGACTATGAAGATTTGTTGACTTGGAAAATGTATTCCCACACACAGGGCACAGGAATGGCTTCTCGCCCGTGTGTGTTCTCTGATGACTATGAAGAGTTGATGAGTCTGCAAATGTCTTCCCACACACAGGGCACAGGAATGGCTTCTCGCCCGTGTGTGTTCTCTGATGACTATGAAGATTTGATGACTTTGAAAATGTCTTCCCACACACAGGGCACACGAATGGCTTCTCGCCCGTGTGTGTTCTCTGATGACTATGAAGATTTGATGACTTTGAAAATGTCTTCCCACACACAGGGCACACGAATGGCTTCTCGCCCGTGTGCGTTCTCTGATGAGTTTGAAGAGTTGACGATTGTGCAAATGCCTTCCCACACACAGAACACAGGAACGGCTTCTCGCCCGTGTGTGTTCTCTGGTGGCTCTGAAGATGTGATGGCCGTGAAAAGGACTTACCACACACAGAGCAATTGAATGGCTTCTTGTCTCCGTGTGCGTGGGGCTGTGGAGAGCGTCTCTGCTCCATGTGAGCGTAGTAACAGCAGTGGTGTTATCGAGTCAAAAGTACGCTATCGGCCGCAAGGATGTTTAGCGTTGAGTTTTGTTAACTACTAAAACAAGAACGACACTCGCGTCTAACCGAGACGCAAAAAAATACCGCTAATTTAACGACGAAAACGTTTAAGAGTTCATCCGCGAAAATAGACACTTAATTGGAGATTCACGGTATATCGATGTCTGTAACCCGTCTGAAGATGTCGCCACGAACTCTCCCGACGCAAAGTCGCCTAACTGTCGATACAGCAATTGTGCTCGCCAGGCTGCGTTGTCTCGCGGTTGAAGGGCGATCAGCAGAGCGACGAGTCGAGCGTCCAACCTCATCAAGTTCCCTCTCGAAATGGCATTGAGCTCTGCTTCTGAGCCGCCTTATAACTCCCCCCGAGGATCCAATCCTTTGTCTTTCAGGATATTTGCATTCGATTGTTAATTTTGGAAGGTACAATCCGCATGTCTATTAACATACCGAAGGGTAATGTGCCCATTGTACTTCATGCATGAATATGTAAGTGCATCTCAGTGTGTAATTGTGCGCTTATTTTGAATAAATGGAAAAACGTTGTCCTCGATTTAAAGTGAATGCAGAGAAATTAGCATGTAACTTTAGAAAAGGAAGAGAGCGGCCTTCTCGACGAGGGAGTGAAACCCAATAGGTAATATTCTTTTACAGCGTTACAATGGATAGGTTGTAGTTCATAGGTTATAATATTATGTTTCACTATGATAGAGCTTAACATGTGAGAGTCTACAATATCAGAGTTGATAAAATGCGACGATCAAGGGCGTCAATCGGGTGAGTTTGAACAGAGGCTTTAATCAAAGGCGTCATCCCATCACGGAACACCACCTCTCTGCGATTATTACAGCAACAGAAGCAACTACAGCAGCAACAACAGCAGCAACATCACATTTCGAGGGCAACGCAGCTACTTCCGATTCTGCTGCCCAGCTGTTTGTAGTCGGGACCTGCTCTCGCAGGACCCCACACGTCTTTGGAAATGATTGCGATGATCATGTCTGAGCTCAGAATTAAGTCACTCAAGATTACTTTTTTAACCATAACTTTAGGTAGGTTAGTGTCATCGGGGCTCTGTGAATACTACTCATGAATGAAATCACACTCCTGTGTGACCGACATTGTACTAATTTTGGTTGATCGAGTAGAACAAGGCACATAACATGTCCAGACGAATTCTTATCAACAACAGTGTCCTTAAATATGATGCTAAAATAAATGTTAACACTGGATTAAACGTCCACGTCTTAACCCCTCCCTCGCATTTACGACTAACAATTTGCATTTGCACATAACATACATTCAAGTACAGTAATTTGCTAAAACGACCAAATTGTCATTCTAAAATTTGAATGCCATTCTTACCCTCGACCCCCACAGTTCACATATCCGACCTCGGTTCGATTGAACGGACAATTAACAAACATGTGTAGAGTTCCATTATAATACTTCTAATGAAATTAAAATACCGTACCTCCGTTTATGGTGGTATAAATTATAAAACCAGTTGGTAGCTTTTTTTGTCGTTTAATGTTTAGTGTTGTTGTTTATAGTGTTATCAATTTACGTGTTTTTAAGTACAGGTGATTCCCGGTATACTTCGGTATTCTGGACCTGAACGTTGCACCGTCTCTCTGGGGACCCGTGTGGTGTGTGTAGCGAGTATCACGGGGTGGGCAGGTAGTGTGGTGATAGTGGTCACGGTTGGCACCGATGCACGACCACCGCCACCACCCCTACTGGGCGGTGGACCTGCCACCACAAAGCAGCACGCGGCGGAGGAGTGAGGCGATCGCTCTCGCAACGCGAGCGAGGCCCCCTCGCTTCCTCTTCTTTTCGTGCATCTCCACCTGCACCTCTTCCGTTTTCTCCTCCGTCTCATCCTCCTCCATCCCCTCTTCTTCATCCTCCACCACCATCTTCTCCTCTACCTCCTCCTCCTCTTCCTGTGCCACCTCCATCTTCTTCTCCTCCGCTAGCACCATTTCTTCCTCCTTCATCTCCTCCTCACCTTCCGGCACCACCGTCTCCACCACCGTCTTCTCTTCCTCCTCCACCACCATTGTTTCCCCTTTGTCCGTCGTCTCCATGTCCTCCACCACGACCATCTGTTCATCCTTTGTTGTCTCCTTGTCCTCCATCTCCGTATTGTCTTTCTCCTCTCCCTCCGTGTTCTCCTCCATTGTCACCATCACAATCTCGTCCTCCTTTGCCTTCTCTTCCTCCGATTTCTCCTCCTCTGTCTCTACCTCATCCTCCATCATCTCCTCCTTTACCTCTTCCTCCGTCTCTACTTCATCCTCCATCTCCTTCACCTCTTCCTTCGTCTCCTTCTCCACAACCTCTGTCTTCACTTCAAAGGCCTGGACGAGTGAGGAGGAGGGCTGAGCTGGCTCAGATCTGTGAAGAGACAACACGACACCGTTCTAGATTTGAAGCGTTCGTGACTGCAATGATTCATATTCTTAGGTTTTTTCGGTGAAGTCACGTAGGTAAAAAAACATTAAAAAGTAAAATAAAATAACATACAAAATTAAAATCACGACGTTTCGGAGGCAACACAAGCTTCCGTCTTCAGGTGGTACCGTCACAGCCACGACAGCTGTATCAAGTAAATGAGAGATTGCAGAAGCTACCACTCCGTTTATATAATGGTTGGAGAAGGTGGTGGGGCAAGGGCCGCATACTTTTATTAATATGGTAAGGTGAGGCTTAAGACTAAGAATAGACTGCATATTCGTAGTCTTGACTCAACCTGTAACAGGGAGACCACCACTAGACATGGTAAAACTGTGATGGTTGTCTGTCAAACACGACACCGTTCCACCTTGCTGCTACGGCAGACATCGCCATCTAATAATAATAGTTCAATTTGTAACGCGCGCAAATTTGCAGACGTAGTGGCCGCAACTCAGAGGCGCGGAGCCAAGCTCAGAGTCGCTCAAAAGCATGATTGTAGAGGTGAGTTTTTAAGTGTCTCTTGAAGGAGGCGATTTAGGTGATGCTGCGAATGTGCAGAGGGATATCGTTCCAGACTGTTGGGGCTGCCACCGAGAAGCGGCGCATAGACACGATGACCATCCTGGATCTTGGTATCGAGAGGAGGTCGTGAGTCGCGCTGCGCAGGCATCTGCCGTGTGCTGAGCTGCAAGTTGTCAATAATGAAGAAAGGTACGGCGGGCAGGCGGATATGAAGGCATCGTCCGTGGGTGGAATGTGTGGCGGATTAATTCGAGCTGAATAGAAACAGCAATAACGACATGGCCAGTGAGTGTGCTTAGTATTGGTGCTGTCATTCTCATGGCGCCAGGCTATCCTTGAAATAGGTGCAGCTGTGTCTCACACAGACTGCTGTAGTTTCACAGTAGTGGGTGGCGTTGCTGTGCAAATTTATCTGAATAATTTGAAGTGACATTTTTTTGGTGACAGGGCCGTCGGTATAAAATAAATTAAATCACAACGTTTAGATTGCAACACAAGCAATCATCATCGGGTGGGAAAACCACAGCAAGAAACTTTCTTGCAATAACGACATGGCCATCGAAACGTCGTGATTAAATTTTATTTATTTTATTTCATACCTACGTGAATTTACCGAAATAACCAAAGAGTATGGATCCCTGTAGTCACGAAAAAAAAATCTAGATTTAAGCTTTCTATATGTATATTCTAATTGACCCCTTGCACATAATGTCCTAAGCATTTCAAATGGCATCGATAGAGATCCTGAACGTCCACTGTGACGGAATGGGTGTGTATGTGTGTGGTCAATGCAGCAGCAATAATAGCCAGGGCGGGAAGCAAGATCTGAACTGTAATGATGAAGAATGAGTGCACGACAATTTGGTCGCTTCAACACATCCACGATTTCAAAAAAGTGTCCGTCAGTGATTTGTGGTCGAGAGAGCCACCTCCCTTGACGTCGAAGGCATCTCAGTGCATTGCATGCGATTAGCCTCTCGCATCTCTCATCTCATCGCGTTTTAAATTGGACACCCCTCTCAGTGGTAGCTGTCGCTGTGCATTACAAGGCGACTTGGCAGCTGGCCTGGAAACAGGCGATAGACAGCGAAAATCTCACGGTGGATGGAGGGTTACATGGTGAAGATATGCCCACTTCGTTATGTGGTCTAACCCAGAAACCAGTTATGAAAAATAAATCTGTCCACAGTATAGCGGAAATTACACGTGGAGTTTGCAGTGTCTGTGAATTTTGAGAGCGCGACAGGGCTTGAGCACCTGTGCATCACAGCAACATTGACCAGGGTTTGAATTCCACGTTTGGCCACATTCTCCGTGTGGATTATGCAGCCCCCTGTTCTGGGAATGTTCTGCAGCTTTCTCCCTGTTACTGAACCCACACAAGCAATGCAAATTGTTCAATTTGGATCGCAAACAGTAGCAACTTTCTTGAAAAATGCGAGCAAACTTGGCAGGATCCTCCTGAAAAAAAGTCTTGAGACCGAGTAAGGCTGATGCTGCGTGAGAAGCATGGCAATAAATAACAAAAATAAACACACAGGGCGCACACGCAGAGTGGTTTACCGTGGCTCAGCGACTCCGGAGTTTGCTTTATCTTCTTGGAAGCCCTCTTCTCCAAAGCTCGGAGCTATTGGGCCCCACACAGGATTGGAGGACGTGGCGGCGGCGATGGCGGCGGTGGTGGAGGTGGTGTCAGTGGTAGTGGTGGTGGCAGTGGTAGTGGTGCTGCTGCTGGTGGTAGCGGTCTGGAGCCATTGTCGCTCGATCTTGGCGAGGCGCTGCTCTTCCTCGAGGCACTTTTGCTCCACAAGACGCTTCTCCTCCATCAAGTGCTCCTCCTCCTCTTGACGCTTCACCTCAACGAGGCGCTTCTCCTGCATGAGACGTTTCTCCTCGAGGAGCTTCACCTTGCGAAAGCGCCT